GGCATGCACCTTTGTGCCAGAGCAAACTGCCAACGTGGGATAAAGGAGTTAAGTAGTAAGATACTTGCAACTATTAGGTGGCATGGAATGAGTACAGCAGAGATGCAGAAAAAGTGGGAGAGCCTGTGTTAGCAAAAATGAATTTGAGAAACTGAATGATGATATAAGCCAAGAATGAGTAGTTATTGAGCAAAGTGTACAGTTCCTGCTGTAAAAACAGATCAAGAGCCTTCTCCTCCAAAGGCTGTTCCACTGATGCTAGAGCTCAGTCATTTCACAGGGGTAAGCTCAACCACATCCAGGATACAGAAATCAGAGCAGTGTCTTTGTGCCCTTCTCTCATTTCTGTCTTTGTGTGTGTGTGTGTGCGTGTGTGTGTGTGTGTGTGTGTGCGTGTGTGTGTGTGTGTGTGGGAGATGTCACAGTGACAATACCATACACAGGTGACTTCTGTTTTTTCTCCAGTACACCTTCCAAAATTCTTCAGAAGGCTGTATTCCTTTCTCATGATTGCATCCTAACTTTCAAGGGCCTATCAAACCACTTTTTTTTTGTCAGCTTTGTCCCAAGAGGCATCAGGACACCTGGATTAAAAACAAGCATCTTTCTCTCTCTCCCCATCCCCTCTTCTTCCAGCCCATGTTGCACTTATTTCTCATAATTTTTTTTAACATGTACCCTTTGTCCCATTCAGGCCAGTCTCCTCCCTGGCGTATCCCCAAACCATGCTCATTTCCACTTCTGTCTTTAGCTCATGCTGTTTCCCCAGCCCTGAATACTCCTCTTTCATCCCTCCTACCTTTTCAAATCTTACCATTCTTTAAGGTTCAAATAAGTCCAACCTCCTCTGACTACTCTAACCCACAATGACTGTTCTTTTTTCAGTACTACATTATTTAGCACTCAATTATCCTCTAATTGTTTCAAGGGTATGAGTTTTATTTCCCCAAGTGCTAACATTTTTTGTAACCTTCAAAGTTTTTAGCACATCAGTGGACACACAGTACACACTCAATAATTATCTGTTGATTGCCTCATTTCTACTAAAAAATGCAGTCTTTTCAAAGGTATTTCAGAATATCATTTTAAAAAATGTATATAATTAAAACTGTTTTAATTATAAAACCTCAAACTCACTTGCTAAATCAAACCACATCACTCACAAATGACTGAAATGGATCTGAATGTGAGCAAAACTCTACCACCCAATTGCTACTGGCATATTTTTTTAAAAATTTTTTAAAAAAATTTATTTATTTATTTTTTTACTGGCATATTCTAAAGCCGAAAGTATTATCATTCTTGGCATAACATAACAGGGTTAGCAGTAGCAGCATCCCTTCAGCCTTCAGAAGCAGGAGGTTTTCAAACATATCAACTTCATGGCTTTGTTTATAGCAAACAAATGCATTTGAGAGAAGTCATATCCTATTGTACTTGTAGGGTTTAAACTGTGTTACTCAGTAACGAATATGTGATATGACTGTTTCAGACCTATCCAGTGAAGCTTTGGTTAACAACCAGAACTCATTTGATTTGAATTGAGGAAAAGACAGTTAATCTGATTTTTAACCCTTACATCATGCTTTTAGTGGAAAGGATAAATCCTAAGAAAAAGTATTATGGATTTTGTAGAAACAAAAAAATGACCATAGCAGACACATTAAAAGGCACAATTTCTAGGGAAATCTTGGAGACAGTGCATCCTGATTCCAATCTCCTAAACCTTCCACACATACTGGCACATTCTGAAGTAGTAATACGTGTTCAGATCTTTAGTCACTGAAGGACTCAATTATACTCACTATACTCTTACTTACTGAAGCAAGAATGTGTATTCGTACCTTTTAGAAAGATTTCCAACCAGGGCCAAAGGAAAAAAAAAGTTAAATAAGCCAAAATATTTAATAATCAAAATATTCCATTTCCACAAATGTTCTTGTTGACCAGTGTTTTCTAGCAATAATGAAATTGGTTTTACAATTATGTTTATGCACGTATATCTCTATATATCTATTTGTGGGTCTAATTTCTTTCCAGAATCCATGTGCTTGGCTGGTTTTCCTATACTTATGTCCAGCACTTCACACATCAAAAGGATCTTTAATGAAAAACAAGGGTAGCAGAAATAATTGAGCTTTGATTGAGGCTTTTTTTAACACTGGCAAAATTAAATATGTTATTTCCAGCAACCCTAAGCACTATTTTGCTTTGTATACTGGTACTGTGGATTATTTAAAAACTAAAACAAAACAAAAAACCCAAACTACTTTTCTTTGTTTTTACAAGTAATATGCTGGTTTAACCAATAATTTGGAATCCAACATTTTAGTACTTGTAATGCATGTGAGGAAGTAGAAAGGGCACCCAAGAAGGTGGGAAGAGCTGGAAAAGACCAACCTGTAATTGAAGATGAAAGACGCTGGTTTAAAACGCACACATTTTTAGTTAAAAAAAATGACATGAGCTATTTCATCAGCACAAGAATAGCCCACCCTTCTGTGTAAACTGTCCTTATGAATGGAGGAGTTTCCTTAACACATGAAGCACAACCATGAATTTGAGAGTGCTGCAGTATCTCTCGCTTCTTGTTCTGCCTCATTCCATGGCCTTTTCTAACTCGGTGGGAAGGTTTTATCTTCTCATTCATACCTGACTGTTATCTTAATAAATTACATTTTGATGACATTAGAAAGATTCTTTATCAAAGACGATTGCTTCAGAACAAAGTGAGCTGGGGGCTGGATAAATAGCTGTTTGATGAGGGTTAAGTCACAGCAGTTTCACCCCATGAGACATTTAAAAGGTTACTAGATGAAGCAGGAGATAGTAAATCACAGGCCACATACTCTTCAGAATCTTCAAGTTGATCTGATTTAATTGCCTTATTTTGCAACTGCACTGAACAGTATCCTAAAGTTTCCAATTTTTGACAAACATTATTAATGTTAAACAGAGGCAGCCTGGTACTGTGCATAAGACAGAAGATCTAGTCTCTGATGCTAGCTGACCCTGAGGGTCACTTAACCTATCAAGTTCCTGCAACTTCCTAGGACTCACTTAAGAAGTTGTAGCCTGGTTGTGATTTCTCCTGGTATTAGAAGTTCTCTACACTGGAAATCAGTTGTTTCAGATAGCTGCACAACAATTTTAAGAAAACTTTATTAAACTCAACTACTAAAGTTCTACTCTGCTGCCTCATCATGGTGTAGAGATGGCTCTGGAGTCTCAGAAGCAATGCCAGTGGAGTACAAGCTCTGATAAACCTTACCAAAGTACAATAGCTTCACATGTGGGCTAAGTGATAGACTGTATGTACGTCTGTCACCTAAGAACTAGTTTAGCAAAATCTGGAGAGTACTAGATGTATGACCACCGTGTTTGGGGGCAAAGCAACCATAAACACTGTATTCTAATATGTGAAAGAATTATGGTCTATATTGTTGAGAGTACTCATTATTAATGAAAAAATGGATGACATAAGTATATGAGAGCCGTTTTCCCAGGAACTGAGAATAAAAAGTACTATGTAAAGCAGGATTATTCACTATATAAAACCAGTCCATTAGCTTCATAGTTTCATCTATGAGGAATTAAACATAGATATGAAAAAGAAATACAAAGAAATTTATATGACAATTACTATGTTGGCAACAGATACCATAAATATAACTGACATCTTTTAAATTGACAATGTTAAATAACAGGTTAATTCTAAAGCTTCCTTTTTATAAAGAAATTAATCTTAATTAAAAATAAATTAAAACAGAATAAATACATAATATTTATTAAACACTTACAGTAATTCAAGGCACTGTGCCAGGCATTAGGGATACAAAGATGAATTAAGACACAGTCCCTTACGTCAAATAAAGTACAATAATGAAGGAGCATAAACATTTTATGAAGACAAATTATGTGATAACTATGGAAACATGAATAAATAAAAATTCTTCATAATTGTCATACAGAAACATTTCACATTACATTTTCATCAAAGGGCATGGTGGTATTAAAGGCATAATAGAAAATGTGGTTTGCATAGTAAAAGGTTTGGAACAAAAAGGATTTTCATTCAGATTTGGCTCTGGCTGTTTAATACCAGAGGCAGTTCCAGGCAAAATTTAAAGCTGAGATTAGAATACAACTCATCACCTCATCCTTATACCTCCTTGAACAGGTCCCTAGTTCAATTCCATTGAACTTGTACCATATTTATCAGAATATAGGCTGGACTCAAATAAAGACTGGCTTCCTAAAATGAGATTTTTAAAAAGAATTGGCAAAAACTGAATAACAATTACACAAAATTATTGCATTAAAATCTTTACTTTGAAAGGTTTTTTTTTAAACATTTCCTTCCATTCAAATACAATTATTTATTTACTTTGCTCATCTTGATTTTCCTTCCATCTTTGTCACTTTTATTGAATTCTCTTACTAGCAACAGCTTGGTATAGTGAGTAGAGTGGGCCAGGAAGGCCCAGGTTCAAGTCCTGTCCCTCATACATGCTGGCTGTGGGACCCTAGGAAAGAAGGGTCACAGACTTCATCTCTTAGTCCTCTAGCTGCAGAGGCCAACCTGCATCTAATAGAGGGAGTTCCCAATACCAATGAAATTACAGAACAAGTCTAGATTTCTTACTAATAATATGTTCTCACTAAGATATAAACCACACTCAGGTTTTGTCTGATTTTGTAGGAAAGTATAACTTATATGCAGACCAATGTGGTACCGAAAATCTCCTAGTGTGTTAACATTGTGCCTTGTAGAATATGTAAAGGAAGCCTATGACATGAACTCTGTCCCTCTAGAAAGCATCATGGCTTCATGAATATTACAGAATCTTGCTCAAAACATATCTTATGCTATACATTTGACTACAAAATGCGGAGGAGAGGGCAGCTAAAAGTCACATTAGGAGGTCTAGTTAATTTTAGGGAGATTTAAAAATAATGAATTTAAGCTTTAAAAAGAAAATGAATTCTATAACACCAGGCACTTTTCTTATCATATTTATTTATTTTTAAAAGCCAATAAATTCCCACTGTCATGCAGGGGGGCTTGGATGCCATGGAATGTGGTAGGAAGGAAAGGGCAGGGAAGGGTATTCAGTTAATTCACCAGCATTTGCTAGATACCAAAAGTATAGGCAGGCAAGGGGTTAAGGACAGAGTAGGGTCAATTAACATAGGGAGGAGCAAATCAGTTCCAGTAGAAAAACGAAAGTCCAGAATCCAGGAGATCAGCAAAGGCAGAGAGGAACAAGCGGGTACCATGGGTTCATGTAGATAGGCAAAGTCCAGGATTTCAGCAAAGGCAGGGAAGATCAAGCAGGTACTGTGTGTAGATCCAGGCAGGCAGAGCTCAGGGTCCAGAAGATCAGCAAAAGTGAGGAAGAACAAGGAGATGAACAAGCCCAGTACAAGCGAACATTTTAATAATCTCTGATCCTAGGACACGGACTGTTTTGTACTGCCCTGATTTTTTGCCTCTTGCTGAGTTTGAACAAATGTTGATTTTGGCCAGAAAGAGGTTAGAAGCTTACAGGTGAAACCTATTTCTGGGCTTATTTCATATCATGCAATTCTGGGTTGATTCTAACATATAGAATGTGTTTTTGTTGCATAAATGAACCAAAGAATGATTGATTTGGGGTTTGAGACTATATTGATATAATTTATTAAACAATTATAGTGTAATCCAAACCAGCCATAAAAATAGCTGAAATTACAGGGCTATTTTGGTTAAGTTCAGATACTTACTTGAGACTTAAAGCTTGGGACGGTGGCAATGCCAACAAAATCCTTGTAATTCTCTGAAATGATTCCTTGTAGTATCATATCACAGACTCAGCATGCAGGAATCCTTTTCAGTGAGCCAAAGAGGAACCAAGCTCTCTTAAGAGTTACTTCAGAAATATTGTGAAGTCTCACTTGTAGCCCTAGGAGGCAAAGTGAGAATCACTTCATACATGATAATGGGATAAGCAAAGGTTTCCAAATCCTTCAATATCCTTTTGTGGCATCCTGTCCCCAGAAGCCAGGTCTACACCTCAACTATGACAACAGAAAGAAGAAAATTCTTGCAAAGTATTATCTTACTGAAAGACTTTACTACTTTAACAGAATACATTAGTGGAGACATTTTAGTACACATCAAAGTCTAAGCATTGAAGGCTACCCTGTGAAACATTAAACTATGTGTATTATATATTTCTCAACTCTTTCCTTATACCCTCCCACCCAAGTCATTTGTAAACTAGATGATGCTTGAGACTCTCTGGCCCCTGAAGAGTTTGAGGGTGATTATATAGCAAAGTCAAACTTGATCCTGGCTATGAGAAATGGCTGGCTACCAGTGGATTTAATTTTTACTACTGATGGAAGAGTATAACTTACTTAGAATTATATCAATGCTTCATATGTGCTTTTAATTGACTATACAGCAGTTGTTTTTAGCAGATTTCTCTCAGAGTAAGATATTTAACCTAGAAAGTGTGATCAATATACATGTATGTATGTGTATATGTGCATATATATATACACATATACATATAGACATGTATGAATGCAATGAAAAAAGATTGTGCTGCATGAAATTCCAAATAAGAAAAATATGATTTATCTGATGTATCAATATATTATGATTTTAAGGTCCAGACAAATTCATGGATGATGGATCCTAATATAGGTTATAAAGGAAAACCAGGTCATTCAGCTTAGCTTTTTTATCTTTGAGATTGATGTCAAGAAATGTCCTTCAACAAGATAGTCTTTGGTACTACCATTAAGATTGAATACTGAGCTATATAGGCCATGGAACTCATGCTGCTTCTATTTTAATACTCTGACAATCCCAGGATCATTCAAAATTTGTTGTAGAAAAGATATTTATCAAACCACCTTAAATCTCTATATGTGAAAGCACAGGTTTCTGAACACTGATGATAGATTTTCAATTTGAGGGGCGAAAAGTTTTTTATACATTATTTCATTCATTCTTTACAATAACACAGATGAGAAAAATGAAGCTCAGACCTTGTAAAATATCATAGGATCTTGTTAACTAACACATGGATTACAAAAGTCAATCAGCTAGGTATAATTTGTAGTTAGATGAGAGGTTCTAAACTTGGGATCTGTGAACATGTTTTAAATTATGTTTCAAGACAATTGGTTTTCTTTGTAATCTCATATATTTTGTTTTATGCATTTAAAGACATTATTCTGACCACCAAAAGGTGAAGAACCTGTGGGCTAGACAATAGTTCACACGAAGCCTTATGGATTTTGCTATACTGCAATTTAAATGATTTAATAATGTGAGGTGGCAGCCAAGGACATAATTCAATCTTGAGGCTGCATTAATATAAGTGCAGCATCTTGAGCAAGAGAGAAGTCTGCCATAGTCTACTTTGGCACATTGCATCCATTTCTGGGCAACACATAAAAAGGATATTGACATGTAATAATTCTTTTACAATGAACAAACAGGATGGTATGGAGACAGAAAACCATGTTATACCATGCTTGATTTAAGATACTGGGAATGTTTAACCTGAAAAAGTAAAAATTTGATACCCTTTAAGTATCTGAAAACAAGATATAGGTTTCAAATAATTAGATGTGTTCTGCTGGATCTAGGAAAACAAATTAAAGCACTAGGTGAAACTATAGGAGATTTTGGCTCAAAATCGGGAGAAACCACAACACAATCAAAAGCTGTCCAATGAGTTGCCTTTTGTTGGAGATTATTTAAGTGGAGGCTGCAAAACTATTTTTTCAGACACATTTAAAATAGTAGCATCATATGTCTAAATCCTGCCTTGGATACTTCTAGGTATGTGACCCTAGACAAACCATTTAACCTCTCTCACCCTAAGTTTGCTCAACTATAAAATGTGGGGTGATGGATTTGATGTTCTGTAAGGTCCTTTCCAGCTGTAAATTAATGATTCTATGAAAGCTGATGTGTGTGTATATGTATGAAAGTAATGAAAAAAGACTGTGCTACATGAAACTCCAAATAAGAATTCAGAGAACACAGATGAAGACTTGTATATAATGATGCAAAGTGGAAAAAGCAGCAGATCCAGAAAAAAAAATATATATATATACATATATACACTATTAATAGCATAAATAACAACAACAACAACAACAACAAACACTCAAAATCATTTGGAAGCTATGCAACTGTAATGACCAAACTTGGCTGTGGAGAAAAGGAAATTCGCCCCACTCCTTTCTTTGGAGGGGTGGGGGGCTATGGCTGTGGAATATCACACTGTGATGGCTGGTTTTACTTAATTACTTTCTCTGTTTCAAGTGCAGGCTCGTTGGCGGTGGGAGGGATGTCTGGAAATGATTGTGATATAAAAATATAAGGCATCAATAAAGCACACAAACAACAAAAAAAATCACCATTTTGCTCTTCCAAATCAACCAACCAAGCGAAGACTGCACTAAAAACATTAGCTGGATTCCTACGTGAGTCAGACTACTTTGTTTTAAACCACATACTCTGTTCTATGCTCCTAGCCCTGGGACTGGCCAAAAAAAGAAAAAAAAGTGTTGATGGAAAAATTTATAGAAATCCAACTCCTGGGGGGAAAAATTTCTAACTCTATGTCTACTAACAGTCAGTTTACTCATGCTGCTCTTTATATCAGATATGTTTTTCTATTTCCTCCTGCCTAATTCTCATGTCTTTGGTCCAGCTCAACTCCTACCTCTGACATGAGGCCTCCCAGTTAACATTCTCTTCTGCAAATTCCTCTTTTAGCAGAGAAACCATAGTATATTAGGAACAATGTTGGACCAAAAGTCAGAAGATCTACATTCTAATTTCAGCTATAACTGGAACTTTAGTCCACATATTAAGTTGTCTGACCTTAGCCAAATCACTTAACCCTTCTAGGCCTCAACCTGAGCAAAGTATCTGTCCAATAATATGTTTGTGAACTATTAAAAAATTAAGGATTATTATCATTGCATTTGGTATCACAACATCTGGCATTTAATTGTGCTCACTTTTCATGTTTATAAGCCTTATTTCTCCAACTGGATCATTAATTCTTTGAGGAACTAATTCTTTTGTAATCTCCCCTAGGGATACCTAGTAGAAAGCTTAGTATGTATGTGTAGGTACTAAACAAAAACTTCTAATTTGAATGAAGTAAGAATTTCACAATTAAAGTTCACTTCTTACTAAAATGCTTGTTTCTGCCCCAGACAATCAAACTAGTATAACTAAAGTTATCCAAAGCTATTATATATTAGTTTACCAAATTATGGAATGATGGCTTGTCAAAAGCTAATGAATATCAATGGCAGTAAAAGTTGGAGCCTCTTGAGATTTCTGAGATTATTTTTCAGAGTGATGTCAAAGATGGCTCATAAGCATAGGACTGGACTACACTGGACTATGCACTAGGTAATAAAAACATAGAATGTCCAATAACTATTCCTCTTTATCAAAATGGCCAAGGGAGTCAAGAATCTTGACTACAAGCTGGAAGGGAGCTGGAATAATACCCTCAGAAAGAGCACTAGGGATGGAAATTTTCCTATCATGCTCTACACTGAATATATGGCAAAGAATGAACTTCAATTCTTCAAGATTTTGTCACTTTTTGTGTGTTTCTTGGTAGTACACAGGGATGTTGATCTTGCATAGTATCTTGGCATTTAAGTTACTGGTTAATTATCTTAATCCATGTTTTCCACTTGATTTAAAAATTTCCAATTCTAGCTCTTGAACTAAATTAAACTAGTGGCTAGGCTGAATTTCTTCTTTTCATACTTTTAAAACTTAAGAAAACAAAATACTTCATCAGCTCAATCTTACTGAATTTTTTCTTATTGCCTCTCAATTTTCTTTTCTTTTTTTGGTGAGGCAATTGGGGTTAAGTGACTTGCCCAGAGTCACACAGCTAGTGAGTATTACGTGTCTGAGGCCACATTTGAACTCAGGTCCTCCTGAATCCAGGGCTGGTGCTCTATCCACTGTGCCACCTAGATGCCCCTCTCCTCAATTTTCAAAGAATGTTAAGAGTTGCAAAGGCCCTTAGGGATTATCTAACCCAGACCCATCATTTCACAGAAGAAATTGAGATTTAGTGAGGTTATGACTCTCTCCAAGGTCTCACAGATGACAAATGTCATAACCTAAGTCTTCTCTTATTCCAGTGTTTCTTTGATCTTTGACTTAAAAATTCAATGACAATACAGCTGATTTTGTGAATCCTGGGGTTGTTTCATTTTTGGTGTAATTTCTTAACACCCTTACACACATTCTTTCTTTTAATACATCCTTTACAAAGTCCCATTCTGACATCTCAGAGCTTGTAAACCCTGTGTTCTAAAAGGGTATGATGGTAAAGCAAAAGGCCGTGGGTCCAATGATGGGTTGTACATCTGTCACCTAAGGACTAATCTCTAAGTTTCAAAAAGCTTATTACCAATAGGTTGGCCACCATATGATTAGTTTTCAACAAGCATTAGTAAAATTATCAAAACTCTGTTTAGGCCTGAAACCTCCATGATTAGTGAAAGTATTTCAACCAAATTAAAGGGTACCACCAAATCACTCACTTTACATTTTTTTTTCCTTTGGAAATGCCTTAGGCTACTGGGTCCACTATTCAATAAGCTTCAATGGTTCCTTATTTCCTCCAGCATCAAGTATCAAGTCCTCCACTTGTCATTTAAATCCCTTCACAACCTGGCCCCTTCCTCACTTTCCAATCTTGTTACACTTTGTCATACACAATCTTACACTTGACTCTTTCCCAAATACTCCACAATCTCTCTACGGTGGCCCACTTACTATTTCTTAAACACAATGTGCCATCTCCCAACCCTATGCTTTTCTATCACTGTATACTCCCCGTGTTTGGAATGCTCTTCCACCTTATCTTCTCTAGCTTCCTTCAAATCT